TAATAAGCTATCACGTGACCTTATGTTCTAACCAGGCTGCGGGCGTGCCTACCTAGACGGTCCGGCCCAGCCCCGCATCCATGCAGCAGCGTTCGTAACACTCCTCCCCTCCTCCCCTCCCGAAAAGGAGCTTCCATAGCTCACGACTACTAAGCTACGGAGGCAAAATAAATAATTCTAAAAAACGAATTGTACCGTAGTTTAAAACTTCGCTGTGTCTAGCAGCCTATTAAGTTACTGCTAAGTACGTAGTAGAGTTACTATCATAGTAAAAATGCGGATCTATACCTTTTTTAATGTAGATTAGGCCTTATATTACGATAGTTATAAGCCTAGGTAGTCTAGGGGCCTTATTAATTATCGGCCTATTTTACAGGTTTTATCAGCTAAGAAGTAAGGGAAATCTACTTATAGCTAATTAAGAGTAATCTCCTAGTATTAGTAAGCTTATATAATATAGGTTATAACCTTAAATACTATAATTATATAAAGAATTCTATAAAAATTATAAAATTCTAAGGTTTTATTCTTTCTTTTTTTAAAGTATTAGTTAGGGGTTAGTAGTTAAGGTTAGTAGTTAGTAGTTAGGGATAAGGGTAAATAGTTATAGATAGGATTAGTAGTATAAATATTAGGTACTTTAGTGCCCTGATTTTTAGCCGACAAAACCTATGTAACAGGCCGACAATTAACGTCGCCCGTGGTCTAGTAGTTCAAAAGACTAGAGACCCGTAACTTCTGTTAATTACTGCGCTGTCGTCTTAAACATTGCTATAATAAAGGTCCTACGTTCGATTTCCCCCGCTACATATAAATAAAAGTCTTAGGAAGGGTATCTACCAGTAGGGGACGGCCGCTAGAGGCCGTCTTAGGCGCCTGAATACGTTCCCGAGATGATACGGCGAGCCGAGACCAGCGATATCGTAAAACCCAGCAATTGCATGGAGTTGCTTAAACTGCCTCGTTCTCCAGCTTACACGCCCGACTAAACACGCAAGTGATTATTAATCAAGCATTCGGGAAAATAATGGCTTAAGGCCGTAGTTAAGATCTGATTGCCTACTAGCTGCCCCGCCGCAACCGGCTATAGTAGGTTTATAAAAGTCACGCTAAAAGTAGATTTTACACTAGAATATATACTTTATAAAAAACTATACTAATATAAATAATATTACTAAAAATATAACTTAATAATAATTTTATCAAGATAGCTTATTTATGTGTTAATTTTATAATTTTTTATATTTAAAATTAAAATCTTAAGTCTTTTCCTTTTAAAAATATTAAGATTATATTTTTAATTATTTTTTATTAGCTTATTTTATATAATTACAATATTTTAACTTTCATATTAATATAATTAATAACTAAAGTCTATAAATTTATCTTTACTTTTTTACTATTATTTATATTTAATTAGTTATAGTTATTTAAAGTTACTTTTTCTAACTTTAGGGTAGGAGCTGTTTTTTTTTGGCGTCACCTTTGCACACCCACTGTAGCTACGTCACAGGTCAGTGGGTAGATGCCCCCCCCCCCCAAAACACCAGAAGACGTATCAATCAACCCCGATTGAAATGTCGAGACTCAGACCAGTAGCCAAGCTTTTCGCTCTCGGGCTCGCACCGGCTGCATGTGTCGGTGCAAGCTTTGCGCTCCGTCCCGCCAAGTTCGATGCACTTGAGCCGGCGCCTGTCTCACGGAGGCTTCGTCAACGCGAAAACCCTCCCACAGGTCGGCTTTCACCTCGAATCATTGAGCAGCTGTCACGAGGGAGCATCTTTGGTATGAATCATTGCGACTGTACTGCTTAGAGTCTTGTGTTGTCTGCTAATACAATTGGTGTGTCGCAGGATTCGGAGCCGGCGTCGTCATTGCCTTCTTCTCCCGCACCCTGGTCTTCCTCGGCGGTTTGATCGCAGGATCCTTACAAGTTGGTCTACTTTTACCGTGATTTGTGTGGCGTCTCTAACAGCCGTTCAGGTCGCCTCACGAATGGGCGTCGATGTCTTCAGCCTGATTCCGATTGACCGGAGAATCTTGACCGAATCACCATTGCTAAGGATGTGGGTTGGGAAGCCGTGGTTTACATCATCGTTTTTATTGACTTTTATCCTTGCGGCATTCGTGCGCCTTTAGATGGGCTGGGTGTTACGCTTGAGGAAGCCGAGAGCCAGCTCGTTGTTAGCAACAAGGCCCTGGGTCTTTTCCAAAGTCTCCTTGTTCTTGGCATTAATCCAGCTCTTTTCCTCCTGGGAAAGTAGGCTCTTGTCCATCAGGTTATTGCAGTAGGGAACCATGGTGACATTCTCGAACCCGTAGTAGGGCGTGCCGCCGAAGTTGTTCTTCGTCTTGACCTCCTTGACTACGATGACATTCTCAATACGAATGCCGAAGTTGCCGTCCTCATAGTAGCCGGGCTCATTCGAGATGACATTGCCTGGCTTGAGGGGAAACTCGCTGTATGCAGGGCGGGCACCGATACCCATGGGCCCCTCATGGACGTTCAGAAACGAGCCGACACCGTGCCCAGTGCCGTGGCGGAAGTCGAGGCCGGCGTTCTAGGGGCATTAGTTATGATGCGGCTTGCAACGCATATCAAGTGACCTACCCAGAGGAATTGTCTGGCAAAGGCGTCTAGGGCGAAGCCGGTGGCGCCCTTTGGGAAGATGGCACGGTCCAAAGCAATAAGACCTTTGAGAACACGAGTATAAGCCTCCTTCTCCCGCTCAGTCGGGGTGCCAAAGTGCATCGTGCGAGTTGTGTCCGTGGTACCGTCGTAGTATTGAGCACCGGCGTCACAGAGGTAGACGGCGTTGGGATCGATGATCGAGCTCTTGCCATGTCTGGCATGGTAGTGCATGATGGCCGCGCTAGACAACAATTTAGCCCATTGATCCCATAAATCACATCAAAATGCCCAAGCTTACTTGGGACCGGTGCACGAGATGGTGGCAAATGACTCGCCGACGAATAGATCCTGCTTCTTACGAAACTCCATCAGCATGTCGGCGGCTTGCGCCTCGTCAATGGACGCCTTCTTCTCGATAAGTTGGTTCTCGAGCCAAGCATAGTACGAGGTTAGGGCAGCGCCGTCGCGGATGTGGCAGGCTCGCATTCCCTCTAACTCGACCTCGTTCTTTACCGACTTGGCATCGGTAATGGAGCTTTTGACTTCCTCAACGTTATCCTCACTGCCGATGGCAGTTTTGACAGCCCATGAGGCGGTGTCGGTGATCAGGTACTTGCCGTCCGAGGCCCCCTCGACATCGGCGAAGAAACTGCTATAGGGCTTGACCTTGACTTCGTTGGTAGTGAGGTGCTCACGGACGGACTGGTTGACCTTGGACTCCTCAACATAGAGAATAGCCTCGCGATGTGTGATGGAGGCATAGCAGTAGAATACCGGGTTATACTCGACATCGTTACCACGCAGGTTGAAGAGCCAGGCGACCTCGTCCAGAGCAGTGACGTACAGGCCGGTGGCCTTCTTCTTGGTGATCTCCTCACGGAGCTCGGCGAGCTTGTCCTTGACGGTCTTGCCAGCATACTTGTCCGGGTGGATGAAGACCTTGTTGGTAGGGATGGTGGGACGTTCGTTGCCCCAAATTATATCGATTAGGTTCTTGGTGATGGCCACCAGTCCCGAGCCACCAGCCTTTTGGATCGTCTCCGTGAGCTTCTTTGCGACAGCGGGGGTGAGGAGAGTAGGGTCAACACCGGCCGTCTTGCCGTCCTTGCACTGCTCGGCAACCCAGTCCTGCCAGGTGATCTCCTCGGGGATACCAAACTTTATCAGTCTCCAGTTGTCATCGAGCTGTTGTGTGGCCTGGTTGAAGTATCGGCCGTCCGTCGACAGTGCGGCCGCCTCCTCGCTGACAACGGCAATTCCAGCAGATCCGTCGAAGCCCGAGATGTACTCTCGGCGATTGAAGCAGTCCGCGGCGTATTCGGAGGCGTGGCTGTCACCGGATGGAACAACTGCCTCATATCAGCCCTAGGCGACCCGTTTTCTTTCAAATGGACTCACTGTAAGCACTGATGTTGTTTTCCTTCATCAGCTTGCGGAGCTCCGCAAGGCGGGGTGTAGTGTTTACACGATCCATGGTATTGAACAATGCTGATGTATGACGAAACGCAGCGGTACGGGGAAGAGATTGAAAACTCGAAAGACGAAATGTGTGTTGTCTCCAAGGAATTCCCGCTGGCCTCAATCGTGGCATCGAAAGGCCCTTGGTGGGGGAATTGATATATCTTGCGTAACAGCTTGCCGTCGCCGGATACATGCGGTTCTGGTACCCCCCCCCCACCACTTGTGATGTGGATCTAGTTGGACGCCGCATGCTCCGTTCAGATATCTAGCTAGGTATGAGAAGTTCCACCGCGTTACGCTATCAGTTTAAGGCTCATTTCTGACATCACGAGGCCAGGGACACTTCCCATGAAGCAGGAGGTATTCTCCAGATGATATGTAGATAGATAATTGACATATAAATCCACTTACAGAGGGCCTCGGCTGGTTGTTCGATATCAAGAGTTTTCACTAGTTATGGCTGTTCATTGAACTCGCTCGCGTACTTTTGTATCAAGTGTAACAGATCTACTACATAGCACCTCGTTTTTGCATCCTCGATAGAGAGATGCTATAAGCTCGTGCTGACCTGTTCTTCCTTGTTTTCAACATGTGATGGATGTGTGTATGTCGCAGTTTGGCAAATATCCTACGGGTAGGTAATTAATTACGTGCATGAAAAGACAGTCGTCAGGGCTATCGTTTAGCAAGTTTCGGCTTCGGTTGTATGATGATGGTCGATTCGACGCTGTTTCCACGTTGAGTCGGAAAGGTTTTCAGGGATGCTGTGGAGATAAAAGCTAATAAATTATTAACAATTGGCTTTGTCACTGTGGCTCAGAAGCAGTGGTAGGCTTCGAGCATTCTTTTTTATTGGTGCCATAGCTTCGAATCTATCAAAGGCAGCAACAACAACAGGCTGTCTGGACATAGGCTGTGATATTTTATTCTACAGAGTTTGGAAATATTCTCGACATCCGGCTGTTGTTGCTTATCTTTTTGTTTTCGTTTACACGATGGTATTTGTGCGGGAAAGTTTTTTTATTCTTTTGGGATCAGAAGTATCCGTTACACGACAAAAGGCTACGGTATCGGGGAGTTGAAAAATGTAACGCACCCATCCTATGCGAGGGAAGACAAACAACAAGACACAGTAATTTTGGAAGCTTTATTAATCACATTTTACCCGTCTCGAGTTTTGGAGCCTGTGTTGCGTATAATGTGATCATTTTTACTTTGTCGTATTGCGTGAGCTGATTGCATCCTAGCTGGTAGGGCACATCTCGAAGTTCCACACCTTCGGCACACCGTTAGCTGCATGTCCAGCTACATGCATCAAGTCAAAAAGTTGAAGCTTCTGAGATGTCTTCTTCAAAGCTGCATCGGCCCGTATCGCGGCAAGGGCTATCATCCACCAGCTATTGTGTTTCGTCAAACATCTGCAATGCAGCGGTACCTTTCAACGCAGTCTCTACAGCCTCGAGTGATCTTTTCCGGCATCCAGCCGACGGGGGTGCCGCACCTAGGCAACTATGTTGGTGCACTACGGCAATGGGTTCAGCGTCAACACGAAGAGCCAGAGTCTACTCGCCTGCTCTACTCGATTGTTGACCTGCATGCTATCACGATACCACAGAAGCCTGATGTCTTGAGGAAGGCGAAGAGAGAGGCCTTGGCTTCGTTGCTAGCAATTGGCATTGATCCAAGCAGGTGTACCTTATTCTATCAGTCAGACGTACGTATGACGAGATATACAAGTGTACGGAACAACCGCAACTAAATATCAACAAGGTTTCAGGCCACTCGGAATTGATGTGGATACTATCATGCACGGCATCAGTAGGATATCTTTCCCGAATGACGCAGTGGAAGGTGAAAATATATGAAACGCTATTGGCAAGAACGGTGACTAACAAGTCGTCCAGTCAAAGCTCAAGTTGACCCAGTCGTCGCATTTGGGTGATGGGCGCGTTGGAAACAAACTCAAGCTCGGCCTCTTCTCTTACCCTGTCTTACAGGCTGCCGATATTTTGGTTCACAGGTTAGCAACCTAATACGGATCCGCATCTTAATTCTGGTACGCCGACTCACAGCCTTCCAGGGCAACCCATGTTCCCGTGGGTCACGATCAACAACAACACATTGAGTTTGCACGCGAGTGTGTGACCAACTTCAACCATGCATATGGACCTCATCTCGTCTACCCTGATATCATTATATGTAAGATCTTCTCGGTTACCTCACTGATGTGGTGCTTATGGACACGCCTTCACAGCACCAGTACGGCGAGTGATGTCACTCACGGAACCATCGTCCAAGATGTCGAAATCTCACCCACTAGAGAGATCTCGCATCTTACTAACTGACAATGCGGACACGATTCATGCCAAAGTATCATCCGCATTAACAGATTCTCTGCCGGGTATTAGCTATGATGCTGAGAGTAGGCCAGGTATTGCGAACCTGCTGGACATTCTATCGATCTTCGACTCGGAGGGTAGGACTGCGACGCAACTAGCCGCAGATTTCATCAGCCCGCGGGAACTGAAGGCGACCGTTTCTGAGGCTGTTATCAAAGGTATGGATGGCATCGGACGACGCTACAAGAAGCTGCTGGAGGACCCGGAGTTCCTTGATCATGTTGCCGCTGAAGGCGGGAAGAAAGCACGCCAGAGTGCGGACGAAACCATGCATCTCGTCAGGGAAGCCATAGGCATATAATCTCAGTCGCGTGATTGTGCAGATTACTTGCATCAACATTTGCATTGACCCATGCACGACGTCTCTTCACTCATACTACATAGTTATCCATTTATGTACTATATACTTCTCCTTGCGGCTTCATGCTGCATATGAGAAGTTCGTTCCTCTAGCTGCGAGCCAAAAGTCGCGAACCACTTGATTGGTGGCGCGAGCGCCGCGTAGACTTAAAAAGGTTAGTATTTGGTTCATGGTGCCTGCTATTTGATATCTTGTTCTGACCTTGCCACTTTCTTCACGAACATTACTTTCTCGGTTTGCGAGACCTTTGCGCTTGGAAAGGAGGGATGATTTAAGCTAGCGTCCAGCCATTCTTTTGCTCTTGGGTGTCTGTTGACCAGTTTCTTCAGAGGCTCACTGAGCTTATCTAGCTCGCTTCGAGAAGCGTTTCCCCCTATATTTCTTGCGAGACTCTGGCAAAGAAGGGGCCCAAGTGTATCCATAGCACCCGACATTGCGTTTTGGAAGCTCTCGTCGCTGCTTCTAACATTAACAAATGTTGCCTGTTTTAGTTAGCGAGGCGTAATTTCATCGGCTGAGATTGCACACACCCAGAACTCTGCTGCTGCTGCCTTAGGCAGAGGCTCGTTGCCATCCAGCGCCTGCAACGCGAAGAAAAAGAAGAATTCTGCCATTTCTGCGGGTTGGATGTGAAGAATGACAGACGGGTCCTTGGTCAGTATTCGGCTAGAAATCTCCATGGCGTTCTGCGCAACCTCTGGCTCGGCCGAGATGTCAATCTGCGACGCCCCTACAGCAGCACCTGTGTTGTCATAGGGAAATTGTCTCAAAAGTCCAATGACCCAAGACAACACCGCGGACAAGATGCCTTGTTGGCTATTCTTGCCTTGCACTGAGCTGGTGAATGAGCACGCAGTGCTTATGAACAACCCTACTCGTGGCGTAGCAAACGAATGTGAGGTCAGGTATTGGGCGACCTCTGAGGGGGGAAGGACAAAAGGGCCTGCCTCGCTTTCTGAGAATCCGGTTCGTAGGACATGACAAATTTGCTCGGTGATCTCGCTACTGTTTGGAAACATTTTCTGAAGCTCCACGATCACAGTAACAATCCGCCTTTGAAGTTGTGGTAAAACGTCATCATAAAGCACGGCAGGCTGCTTCTCATGCTCAAGACTGATAGCGTTTTCAGCGGGGGTTTGCACACCCTTTCCCATACCAGCCAGGCATCTGAGCACCTTGAGTGCCATGTGAAGACTCGGATTCTCTTCCGGCGAGGTATCCAAGCAAACTAGTTGGAGTAAGTCACTGTCATCGCCTTTCTGCATGCTGAGACGTTGACATTTCCGTAAATCCATCTCAATGAATTCCAGAATCCGCCCGTATTGCGAGTATCGCTGTGGAGGGCTGGCGATAGCTTGAGCAACCGAAGACAAAGCTCCAATCGTTCTCTCGCTGGTTACGCAGTCTAGTTGCTGCTGGCTGACAACCCGCGCATACTCGGCCAAAAAAGCATCAATATCTGTGTGCAGATGAGCTCTGCAAGAGGAACATAGCCTGAGTATCGATTTCGACGCTACAGACGCCATTGCTTCATTTCCGAGCGAAGAAAATAACAACTCGAGCGCTGGCGGCAGTAGAGCTGGGTTCCTCTCAAAGTATTCAGTGTACAGCTCGATCAGTTGGAGACACGTCTGTTGGGTTCGTGTCGGTACTGTTGCCCGTCCGTCTCGAAGGATTGTGAATAGCTTCGAGTGAAAGACTGATGCCAAGAAGCTGTCACAACGATCATCGACCTGGCAGCAGTCGGCGAGACCCCCCAGGCAATACACAGCCGCCTCGAGTCGCAACCATGCAGCGTCCTTCAGCGATAAAAGCACGGTTGCAGCAAATCTTCCCAGCAACTGCGGGCCCACCAGGGCGTAGACAGATTGGAGCAGGTCAACAACATCGTTTCGTGAGTCGGCAAAGCCTGCTCTATCGTTTGAGTCCCAGTCTGCTACTGCTGCACTTGGTGGGTACGTAATCTTTTGCCATGCGTTGGAGCATGCCTTCATGAGTAGCGTATAGGCAGGGGCTTTCCATGGCTCTTCTTCACTGTCGTCGACCGATAAATGATCTGGTATCGTCTCCGCGAATGAGGACCAGAACTCGACAAGGGGGACAAAGATCCTGTCTTCCACAACGGGGTAACCTTGAGCGAGAAGAAGATCGCAGAGGTGAGATAATATCTCGGAGCTATCTGCGTGACAGTTCTGTATCAGTAGAGGCATCCTTGCTTCCGCAAAAGCCAGTAGAAGCTGGGCAAATTGTATGGAATCGAATGTAAAGTCGCCATCCGTCATGCGCTGGTAGTATTCCGCTGCCCATGGACTCTTGAGCAGTATTTCGAGAACTTCATTTGTTTCCGGCGTGAAGAGTGATGGATTGTTGGATAGAGCTTCGATGAGAAGCTCTACTGAAGCATCATACACGGTACCAACCGTCAAGAGCTCGATGACGTTACCTAGTAAGGGTTTCACTAGTTCAACAACGTCGGTTTCGTGAGTAGGTGCCTTCTGTGTAAAAGTAACCCATGCCTATGATGACTGTTTTTAGTTTTCATTGATCTTGAACACACACTGACTCCAGCCATACCTGAAGACATTTGATGGCGTCTTCCAAAATGGATGCCGGGACCCCTTTGCTTTGCAGGGATCTTGACAATATCGTTTTGAAGCTTGGTGTGCTGTCTAGTACTGCTTTATATGACGACGCGCTTGGTTTAACATCAGCGGCTATCGGTTTCCGACGTGGTCATGTAGCTTACTTCTTCGCGGAATTCGGGTCCAGCCGCAATACGTCCTCGACGACGTGCGTGGCTACCCATAAGAGTGCCTGCATTTGTCGTTGCCCTAGCATTTCTATCATATGACACATCTGAAGGCTGGGCTCCACGGTGTCCGGGTAGCAGACCTGGTTGTTTGCTAAGCATACTCCGATGTGGTCGAGGAAGCGCGGCCATATCGTATGATACCGGAGAAAAAATGTTGATAGAGCAGACACGAGCTTCCTTGTAACGAGGCGACTTTCGGCTTGTCTGATGAGGTTCACGTACCATCCTATTAGACAGATCAGCAGTTCTATAGCTTCTTCGTCCGAAATGGACGCGCTGGACGACGGGTCAGCTTGTGCGGGCTATGAGACCGCTTGCTTCCACAATGCTCACCTTTGTGTATTGAGTTTAATAATGATCGTGAGCACTCCGAAGAACTGAACTTTCTCATCTCGTCGACTTAGCAGTTCTTTTGATAGAGTCCACGCCTGTGGCAGGCTTTGTATCCGCGCCAGCGCCGCCTGTGTGCTTGCGATGACCTCCGGCGGGTTTGGTTGGTACAACGATATTATCAACTGCTTGTTTGTTAGGTTGCTACCTGGTGATTGTTCCGTGGCTTGACAATGTACATACCTGCTCGACCCTCTCGGGTACCATCATTTCTTGTAATTCCATTCCGCGTCCGACTAGAGATCGCGCCCTGGTGGATTAGGTCTTGGCTCTTCAGTGCGAGGGTTGGAGGGAAAGCACAGCTAGCCGAGCAGAGAAGTGCATACAGGAGGGCCAAAGGAGTGGCCAAGCAAGGGTGCGAACCGAACTGAGTGTAGTAAACCGCCGAAAAGCAAACGTGCCAGAGAGCAGTACTCACGGAAGGACGAAATCGACCAAAGCCGCGAGATCAAGAAACAGGGTAGGTCCTCGTTTGGCTGCCCCACCACGCAGGTGGCTGTAGCTGTCACACACTGTACAGATACCCGGCCGTGCGATGAGGACGGTTGAAGAACAGCGAAGAAGGATTAAACTGCGACCAAGCAGGAAAGAAAACACATCAAAGAAGTGACATCGAAAGGAAAGAGAGAACGAAGGGAAGCCAAAGAAAAGAGAGAGAGAGAGAGAGAGAGAGAGCATACTGCCACTTTTTAGAGGGGTGGCGACTAGTTGAACATCGACAGATACAACGCGATTTGATCCTGCGAAGTCGGCAGCTACCTAGGCGCTTGCACAACTCTTGCCCATTGAGTCTCCGAAAATCGATTAAATTTATCACACAAAGCAATGTCGCTGTTCTTCAGCCGCCTCGAGATACCACCATGAGATAGCTACATATTGTTACACAGTAAAGAGACACAGGAAGTAGAGCGAGCATTGGCTTAAGGAGCTGAAGGTGTGCTGGCACGAGGCATGGCACGCGACAGGCCCAAAGAATTACTCAAGCGACCGTGGCTGAGCATCTCCTCGGCCTCAGCTTCCGTGACTGATCTGGTCTGACTGAGATGCTCCCATGTCGACGATAGCTCACCATCACCAGCTTCCAGGAACTGCTCGTTGCGCTCAACGTCCGTAGGACCAAACTCCCAAAAGTTAGCCTTCATGCCAATGCCGTAGTACTGATGCTTCCGAAGATACGCAAGCCAAAGCTGTACAGTCTCGGGATTCCCATCCTGAATCTGTATCATGCGGCGTAACGTTTTACGCTCAAAATTCTCCTGCGACTTCTTAAAAATGAAGTGATCCCTTGGGACTGTCCAGCGCTCCGTTATACGCGGCAGTGGCACAGGCCCCAACGCGGGTAGACCCAGATAATATGCGGCTCGGAGTGCAAAATCGGAGAAGACATCGAGCGGCTGCACGCTGTAAGATCGAAGTTGAAGGTCGCACGAAGGAAAGCCATGCTCCGCAGTGCGACGAAGAGGTTTGAGGTGGACGGCCTGCGCTGATCGTGGATTGCGTAGCTCATCGTCCTGTGCAGAACGAGAAGGTATAGAGTGTATCGTCCGCGATTCCCCCAGGCTATCTGTGCCGTAGGATCTGATACAAGTTAGCCAATGGGTTACGACATCCTTGAGTAAAATCGATGCGAACCTGTAGGCTAGTCCGGCCTGACTGGTCCGTTGCAGAACCGGCTTTGGGGTTGTAAGTATATGTCAAAGCCATCAAACAGACCGGTGCACCTACTCGTAGACGCGCCAATTCGGGCGAGATATGGCGGCGCATTGTGATATCGCGTGTAAGATGCAAAATGAAGTGAACGCCCGGTTTGACGGGTTGCATATTGCCCTAGGGGTGTGGAGAGGCTGCCACCAGCCAATCAGAAGATCTTAAGAGATCCACATCAATACATTCACGATCTACAAACACCACCCAAAAAGTACCATGCCAAGATTTACATCGCGCGGTGTCCATGTCCTGAATAAAGTCATCACTCATGTCGATAGATTCAGTTATGTATCTTAAATGGGCGTTTTCATATACTACTCTTGGAGTGGCGTATGGCAGGCAAGTTCAACTAAGTCTACTGCTTAGTGCTAGCGTTCGCGTCTTGCGACAGAGCTCGCGTGTCGGGGTGAGACGTTAAATCTGCCGGAAGCCCTTCAGGGTACTGTGCCTGTGTGATGCCTCAAGCTGCCCCATAGTTTATTGCTGCCCAGTCCGAGTGGTGTACGCTGCGAAGGCAGCGTCCCTCTCATGGCGAATGTATGATACCAAATAGTCACGCGGCCCGAGGGGCACTTCAAGGGTAACCAGTCTCTAAAAGACCGAATTTTGGCTCGGGACCGAGTATGCTATCGCGGTTGTCAAGCTTCAGCCGCGCCCCTTGCGCCGCTGGGCGACAAGTTTCTGGTAGAAGGCCTTGTTACCAGACGTCTTCTTCTTCTGAATGGCGGCATATTTTGCCTTCAGCTTGTCGTTCGCATGATCTTTCATGACTTCACCCAGGATTGTCTGTCGTCTTTCCTTGCGGGCAAGTCTTGCGCTGAAGAAATCGGCAGGGCCTTCAATGATCTGACCGACCTGGGAATATTTGGGTGCTTCTGTTCTTAAGCTTTTTTTCTGGTGCTTCGGATCTAGCAGGCCTCGCATGCGAAGAATCTGCCAATCTCTCTTGAACTCTGCAGTAAGAACGGTTTTGGGAAGATCGAACCAATTGGAGCCGGCGGAATCCTATTTCGACGTTAGCAGCCGAAGCGCGATGACCAATTGTTTGCTTGAGACGTTTCTGGCGGGCCACATTCAGAAGAGAAAGTGACATGAAAAACAAAGATTCAGAGTAACTATGATAATGAATAAATCATGGAGCCACGAAGCGTTTATCCAAAACGGACGATACCTCGTGTCAGGGTACCGTAAGTGGTTACTTCTCATCACCATCAAAGGGGTAGTTTGGTTGAAAAGAGATAGAAATAACTCGGCCACCATACCTTGGTTTTGGTGTTGCTGGTCGTCTCGTTCTTTACGATACGGACGAGTCTTTGTTCACCGGTAGGCACTGTGGCAGCGACGGGAGCAAGAGCTTCAATTGTGTCCAGTGCGCCATCACATGGTTTGTTGGTAACAGGGCTTCCCTGCAGGCGGTGCTCAGCTTGGAGCAGAAGCTCAGATACCTGCTGTCTGCTGATTCTTGACATGACAGACGAGTCACGAACTCTGTAGACTGGTCCAGCCAGTTGCTGGAGTAGACGTTATATCTGAGATGCTAAGCAGAGCTGAAGAGTTGCAGGTTGGAAAAAAGTTTCTGAGCGGTCGATAAAAGAACATCCTAGACCAAAGAGTGGAGCCGACATGGACCCGTGGTAGTAAATAAATAGTAAGTAGTGCTATTTATTCAGACGAGAGCTTTTTGCTAGCCGGACGAGCCTCACGTGACGTACCGCACCGGGACTTCTAAGGTACCTAGATTTACTCATGCACATCATATAAAATTAAGTATCTAAGAAGAACCGCTAGGATAGGAAGTCTATTTTCTTTTTGCTGGCGCCGCTGGGCGCGGAAGAATTGATGATCTGTGCGGAATCGTTGAACTAATGAAAATGCGTTTTTTGAGTGATTTAGCGAGTGTTGAGAGCTTTAAGAGGCGGCGGCGGCGGCAAGAGGGGTGGTTTTGGTGGCAGGGACAATTAATATATTGCATTTTTAAAAAATACCTCTATTTGTATGTGACTTACACTAAAAGATAGGTACCATTGCAGCCCTACTAGTAGAAAGCTCTTGTCCGTGTAGCAAAAATGGGTCGTCCGAAAGCACTACTCAATAGTAAATACACTCAGCGGGCTTGTACTCCCTCATCATTTGCGTGCTGAGGGACCTCTCTCGAGGTGGAGCCTCCAACCTCATTAGCACAGTGATGTATACAGTGTGTAGTAGCTCACAAAATCGCCGGCACGAATTCAGTCACTGCGGAAGCAAGCTTTGGCGCGACAAAGAGTTGGCACTGTGTACTTCGGGTCATTGCCGGAACTTAGGTAGTTTGGTTGCAACACAGATACAGGCATTCAGCCAAACGCATCGCTCGTCCTCATATCGCTTCGTTACTACATTGCTGCAAACCGAGCTGCGCAGAGATCCGCTAGATATTGTCGCATTGAGATTCAGGCGGCCGAGGGAAAACGAAATTATCGACAAATCTATCACGCAGAGGCTAATAAATAGCAGTCATCGCGTATTTGGCGACGATGGACTCACAGAACCAATCGGCGCAATCCCAACAACAGGGACGCCCCGCGCCGGTCTATGACACAACACAAGGTGGCCATTACGGTGAGTCATCTTTTTTTCATTGGCTCTGACTTCTTATTATGATACTGATGGCCGCTATTTCAGGTGCTTGCGCCGCTGTATGTGTATTCGCTGCTCAGCAATGTCGCTCCTCTTCTGACAATGAAACAGCTAGCGACGCAAGGATTCGCCCCCGCTGAATTGTACACGGGACCTTGGGCAAACGTTTGTCAGCCTAATTACGCCGTGATGGGCTTATACCATGCTACTGACTGACACTTACGCCGATAGGTTCACCAAGGTCTTACTGGACAGTACAAGGATATTTTGACAACTTACTGGCAGCAGACCATTACTCACCTAGAGAGTGAGACACATGATTACAAAATTCACCAACTCCCCCTGGCACGGATCAAGAAAGTAATGAAGGCAGACCCTGAAGTCAAAATGATCTCTGCCGAAGCACCGATTCTATTTGCCAAGGGCTGCGATGTTTTCATCACGGAGCTGACAATGCGGGCTTGGATCCACGCCGAAGAAAACAAGCGCCGCACACTTCAGCGTTCCGACATTGCGTCTGCGCTGGCGAAATCTGACATGTTTGATTTCTTGATCGATATTGTACCCCGAGAGGAGGCAGCATCTCACGCCAAGAGAACCGCTGCGCAACCCGCACCACCGGTTGGAAGCGGTCAGGCACGCATGTCTGCTAGCATGGCACAGCCCAATTCACACCCAATGGCTGGAGCCGAATACATGAGTGCCCACGGAATCACGAATGAGCAGGATTACCGTCAGAATCCCACGCTATACGCTGGCCAAGTCCCTGCGGCAGCCTCTGCTGCATATGGTCAAGCGCAGGCAGCGGGCACGATTTATGGTGAGATGGACAATATGTACCCATATTCGGGCATGCAGGCCCAGCAAGTAAGCTCACAGCCACCTTTGCTCAATATCACTTATTGACATGCTTATAGGCACAGATGACATCCGAAGAGTTTGAGTGAGAATGAGCCGTGCTGTCACAGCAAGTCGCCGGCGCATTAGCAAATCATGCTTGCTCATTCCCCGCTGCTTATTCTCTCCTGTCGGTTCTGGTGCCTGAACTATTGAGACAGGGTTCAATCGTTACGGCTTTTATCTTGTCTTTTATTCGATATCATGTTCCTTCAATTCCCAGTAGATCTGTGCAGGAAGCAGACACCATGGTAAAAAATGAATTCGCTTACTTGACAATACAATACATGCTATTTCTTACAGCTCATTTCATCATTCCGAACCTAGAAGATAAATTGGATAGCGGCGCACCTCTGCTAGACGTCTGCGCGGCACTGCTGTTGAGCCTGTGACCATGTTTTAGCATCTTCCGTTGAAAGATTGTCTGGGGACGACATACTTCTCTAGCAAAACAGGGCCGTTGAGGGCGTCGACTCGGTTATACTTCTTATTACGCACTGACATATCGTAGAATTCATCGTGATTATCGGATTGTAGGAGGTTGACAGTTTGTTGCAACTCATCCAAGTTTTCCTTGAGCATCTCGCCGTTCTCAAGACTATCGACGAATTCCGTCAAATATTGGACATCCTGTGAAAGGGCTGATACAGCGCTTGAGCTAATAGATTTGACCTCGGGTGAGAGTGGGAGTGCCTGCCATGACCAATGGTCAGTATGTCCGTAAAGCAGTGAATGGGTACGCATGCTTGATGTTTCATACCAATATCTTACTCGCAGTATGGCTCAATGCGTCGAAGTAAATGAGCTCTTTAATTTCTCGGGGAAGGCCCAAAAGGGTAGAGTTCATGATATTTGAGAGATAACGAGTAAGCGTCTGCATATAAGAACTGGGCTCTGATGGATCGGTTGTCGTAAACCTGAGCGAGGAATTTTAGCTTGTGACCAGGCAACCAGGCATGCTAGCAACGTATCTTACCAGTCGTATTCAGCTGTGTCTACAAGGTCATCAATCTTCGAGTTAACAAGCTCAAAAATCCGCTTCTCCGCCGTCTTTTTGTTATTTCGAAACTCCTCAGTGGCGTTGAGCTTCAATGGGCCGCCAGCTGAAGTGGAAGACCTTGCGCTTATAAGAAGAAGCTCTAGTTCTTGGCATGCTGTTTCGAAATGCTCCAGATTGATCAGAATCTGAACGATTTGACCGAGATACTGAGAGCTGAGCCGCTCAACAAGAGATCGACAGACCTTTTCTGTCAGAAGCTCATCGAGGGACTACATCACAATCAGAAAAGAACATTCTTTCAGGCCCAAGAGTATGTGAAGAGGGATGGAAGAGGTGACGACCGATTGAAGAGAGACATACCTGCCGCAGTGATTCGTCAATAACATCTGAATGCTGAAAGTGGTCGTCCGAGAAAAAATAAAACTGGTTGAGGAAATTCTGAATGTCGATACAACAAAGAGGGTACATTTGAGAGAAGGGCAGGACGCAAGGGAACCTGTCATGGCTATTAGCAGAAGGTTCGCGGAAAGACCAGGCAAGAGACTTACGTGATGTTTTCGACATTATGTTCTGGCGTGTACCAGCTGACATTGAGAACCTTGTCGAATTCTTCCTGTGAATTGATTGCCATGGGCATGTAATCATCTGTTGATACAATCTGACACGAACTTCAAGTTAGTCGTTGGAACGGGGAGTACCTGAACGCCAGGAATCGATACCTCTTGAAAGTCGTCACTGAATCTGCGTCTTAGGAGCTCGGCATATTTATCAAATAGTGTGAGCAGAAAGGTTTCCAGACTCGAGACAGGGTATCCGTACCCCTAGAGTCTATTAGTTTGAACATTGACGTGGGATGCTGCATCCATACCTCCATTGTCTGAATGAACAACGCAACAATTCCTTTGATCTTGAGCAGCACCTCAGCATTCGTCACATCGTTCAGTGCCTTCGATGCTACATTGATGCCTGTGCTGCACATGGATTCCCACAACTCTTCTACCTCAATGGCAGATCGCAGATGTGGAACGCGCCGCATGGTGGCCTTTTCAATGATTGCGAATCCTGTTATGCCTTCCAAGAGGCTACTGAGGGACGATTCGTCCTCCGCAGATAGGTCCATCGAGCTAGGTAGGAGTAAGTCCTTTTGCTGTCGACGCGTGGCGGCATACTCCGAACGGAAGCGATCTGCTTGGTTTAAAGCCTCGTGAATGTGGACTGCTTCAAAAAGAGGAGTGAACGCGATTTGGAGTTCCTCATTGTCCAGTACGTCAAGCTCTTCGTTCTCATCGCAAACAAGCTCTATGGACGAATTTAGTTTGAAATTGGACAAGAATGAGTCTTCCTCAATTCGTTTTTTTTGCCGCAGCCGCCTTTGCTCAGTATAATACCAAGCAAGCTCTCCTAAGAATTGAGATGCTTCTCGTATGCGAAAAAGCCATGTGTTTAGATCAGCCATGACTGCCTCGGAAATTGCTTTCCTGGAGGCGGGGATGGACTTTTGAATGGCGTCAGCGAGCCTATGTTGCGTAGCGTAGCGGTTCTGTAATATGGGAACCAGGTGCTCATTTTGGAGGTCTTCGAGTGATTTGAGAGACGAATAGTATTGCTTTCGCCGCACAAGTTCGTGGGCATGATTGACGGCGTGGAGCACTTTAAGTGACTCCTTTAGAGCGTTAGAGGCATCCGAGATGTTCTGTCGTACAGCCTTTGTATTGACCAACGCGCTCTTTTGCTCCGCGAGCTGTTCGGTGCTGGACTGAATAGATTGATTTAGCTTCAAAATCTCGGCGATGAGCGCGACGGCATCTTCGCGAACGTTCTGTAACTGATTGACAGAGTCTAGAAACTCCTCGTGCTTCGTCATCCCGATTCGCTCGATGTCTGCCTCGCGGTCTTCCGTATATTGGTTGAGACACTGAATAAGAGCCGGCGTTCGGCGGGAGTTCGATGCATCCTTTAGGACTGGAATAAGGTGATCGAGGAAATCGCCATCTGACGATGAAAGAATGATCTGAATGTCATTAGCAGAGAGCATCGCGTTACGAGGTTTAGACATCATAGTACCTGCGGTACTGCGGACGCATAGTCATCGATAGCCTCTATCCGCCGTGGCATCTTGGAGCTGTTGAATTCCCCCAACCTGGCAACTAACTGTCGTTGCAGAAATCACGGTCGAGAATTGCGAGCGCGCGGTCGAACAGCTCGCCAGACGCCCCACATTGCGAGCGGCGTTTTACAGGACGTAGTACATATCCTGCACTAGTTAATGTTTTGTACCAAATTCAAGACGCTACCTTCTGGAAAGTCTACCGTGTAAGCTCTTTTAGCTAGTTACTTGCTTGCCTCCCAAAGGGGTAGCGAAAACTGACGCTAAGCTATGAAGAGAGAGTGAAGAAATACGCCGAATGATTAATGCAGAGCATCAGAAAGATGCCAGTTCAAAATAAGTCTCCAATGCCAACATAAACCAGGAAGGAGCACTCCAACACGAATGTACGCTTGAACAACGACAGGTGAGAGGCTATGTAGGTAGTTTGGAGATCTGATTTTCCGAAAAGTGGTCAATGTCAAATATATGCTGGCAGCATTCAAGTTCGACTGGGGCAATCAGAACTTGTAGCAAACCTAGCGAAGGCGGTAGCTAAAGCAGTCGAACGAATCTCAAGCCACCCATGCAGCTTGTCTTAGTAGTTTACCTCAGCTGTCAAGAAAAGGTGGGCGTTGAGCGCGGCATTGGTTTGCTGCCAAACTTGCCAGGTGCAACGGCCCGTCCGTCAACCTCCAACAAACGTCCTTTCACACAAACATCTTGGTTTCTCTCGGTAATGCAAATCCTTTTTTTTATTTTTTTGCAAGAAACAAGAATCTAGACGCATCATAAACGATTATTTCTAATATCTGGGAGCACAAGCCAAAGAAAACCCCATGATGCCCTTTTCGTCTCCATCTCCTTCTGGAGGCGGCGACTCGTCCATAAGCTCTCCGGATACCAGATTGACAGCGCCATCACCCAATGATGCAATCAAACGCGACGTGTCATCTATCAGAAGTAATAGTGACATTGAAGACAATGGCCTCCACAGAGACAAGCAAATGGTTCACCGCAGACCGAATGAACAGCGTGAACGTGAGAAAGACCCATTCGTAACACCAGGCCGAGCTTCGAAGAGTGGACTGTCTCCGACTGCTTCTGCATTCAGCCCATTCCATATTTTGACGGACAGTCTCACTTATCCAGAGATACACGTACCGGTCAATATGCTCAGTCAGAGCATGGGAATGTCCAGATGGCTGAAGATAATCGCAGAGCGACCTCTCACTCCACAGGAGGTCAATGGGTGGCTTCAAGTATGTGGCTGCAAGCTTGACAGCAAGTACCAATACTGATAAGAATCAGGATCTTGAGAAGAGCTCAAGAGTCTTCCACGGAGCTAGGAGAATTATCGAAAGAAATGGTATCGTGGGAATCTTCTTCGAGGACATCAGAGATGCATGGCTATTCCAAAATCAGACCAGCTCTTCCAACTTTGACTGGCAAGTCACCCATGTAGGTGGTACCGATACAAAACAGATTCGTTGTTCATGACTATTTTCAAGTTGACCATCAGAAATAGGATGCCTCGGCCGATTTGTATCCCTTGCCTCGAGATAGTGGCCAGTTAGTGGTCTTGGCTACGGTGCCACCGGGGTCAACAACCAGTGCAGAGCAAGTCGTCACAGAAGTTATGACGAACCTTAGAGTCCACGGCGAAATATTTGCATTTGAAAAGAAAATGACCTATCTGGATGGGTCTTTCAGAGGTATTGTTGAGTATTGTGATGTTGTGGCGGCCAAAACCGCGCTCACTCAAGCGCCAACGTCAGAAGGACAGAGTGTAAGTAAAGTCTGGTATATATTTCCTCTTGGGATGAAGATTGACATTCATATAGGGAATAAGGATTGTCATTGCACCATATCAGGAGGAAGAGTCGATGCCAACTGGTGGTGCGCGAAACTGCGACACTATTCGCATCTCCAATCCAAACGCTAGCTGGGAGTACGGGCTCGTCAGCTCCAAACAGAACTCGATACCTCAGACTAACCTTTGCCTGAATACATCCCTTGCAATGTATCCGGTAATTGCACAGCCCTCTTATACGCCAAGTTTCCCATATCTGGTAAACTCCTTCATCACCAGTGCGTCAGGCGCCGGAGTGGCGCCGTTGTCAACACCCATTTCGCCGTCCTATCAGAGAGTTTCAGCAGCTTATCGGAAGCCTCCATCTCCAGCCCTCACTGTGCAAAACGGGTTTAGTCCATCGAGATCCAACCCAGCCTACGGTAGATTATATCGGCGGCAACACGCTGCGCGAGTAAACAGAAACTCCTTCCAAAGTCCGAGCAGCCACCACAACCATGTGGACGTGCATCGGATCAGAGAAGGAATCGATGTTCGAACAACGGTATGCTGATATTCTGAGCTTTGAATACTAGTCTCCTAACTATTGCAGATTATGTTGCGCAATATACCGAATAAAGTAGACCAAGCAATGCTCAAGCGAATTGTCGACGAGTCCAGCTGGGGCAAATATGATTTCATGTATCTCCGTATAGACTTTGCAAACGACTGCAAGTACGTCTCGAACGACTTCTTTCTACCTCAAACGGAGGTTTCAACTTTTTACACTAACTCATCTCATAGTGTTGGATACGCGTTCATTAACTTTGTAGATGTAAGTCCCCAACAACATTCGTGAACAAATATAATTGACTTCAAGGAAGCCTCTAGATATTATTGATGTGAGTTCTGATATTGATCAGAGTACTTTGTATAAACTAAGTTATCTCGCATAGTTTGTCGAGGCACGTGGTAATCAACGATGGTGAGTATCATATCCCGCCTGAACATGGACAGAGCGCTAATTGGACCGTCAAGGAACTGCTTTAAAAGTGACAAGGTGGCCGAGATTTCTTATGCAAGTCAGTTTGTGATATCAATTCCAACACAGTCTTCTATTAATATTTCAACAGCCATACAAGGGAAAGACTGTCTAGTACAGAAGTTCCGGAATAGCTCTGTCATGCTCGAGGCCGCGCACTATCGACCCAAAGCAGGTATAGCTCACAACGTCGTTCCTGACAATATGTTAATATGCTTTGTATAGCTCTACTTTACCTCAAATGGTCCCATGCCGGAAATGGCTGGCCAGGAAGAGCAATTCCCCGAGCCGGATAACCAATCTAAAATGAAGCGCAGTTGCGAAAATGCTGAGCACGTCGGTCAGTACTCGAAAGAACTGCTCACCACAAAAGCTAATGCTTCCCAGGACTATTCACACCAAATGCTGGACAGCACTTTCGTGACGAGCAGCGTCGTAGACGCTCGCAGTATGATCGAGGAACCCGTTTGGCCGCTCTTGAAGAATACGACTTGGAGGCCATACAGCATCTTTACATTGGGAGTGAGAGACCGGAATAGCTGTCACTAATAGTCACTGATGTATTCACACCTCAGCGGCAAAAGTGATGTTAGATGCGAGAGAGAAAACTGTTTTGCTATCTATCGCTAAATGCAATGGAGGATTAACCGGCGGAACAGAATAATGTATGAAACACGGCTCGCTATATACAGTCAAACAAATTGCTGCAGTCATCCTTAAAATGAGAAAAGGATTGCTTCATCATTCTTGAACAACTTAGCAGACTATTCCATGTCCCCGAATCTGCGTGTTCGCGAAGCACAGCTCGGGAGTGAGATAATAGATTTGACTTTCGTCAAGAACGCCCAGGAGAAGAAACATCTTCTGGCAAAGAAGGTAGCGGTTTACGAGAGCTTATATGCCGAGCCCCCTTGTCGTAACTCGTTGCCTGCACGGCTGAAGAATGACTGCTTGTCTGCCAATCCGACGCACCATCGTCCAGCTCGGTATTGGGTGTCAAAGGAGGAGACGGTCGCTGATAACCATAGTCGTCCATACTCAACTGAGAGCTGGCCATGGGCCGCTCAGGAGAACTTGTCGCATGGGGTTCTGGTGTGTTTGGCGTTCGCGCATCGAGCGGGTACTCGGGCGATCCGCTCGAATACATGTCGGGCCTCTGCATTGAGGCCAATATCTCCGCAAACGCTTCACTTGTGCCCATTCCCTGGTCTGATAGGGAACCAAGTGTAGGTATTGGAACTCCTCTGGAGAAGATGACCAACAAGAGACAGGAAAGAAGCAGAATGGCCTGCAGAATGGCCATGCGCTTCTGGAAAACAACTTCATCTGCCAGTACATGTAGCCGAGAACTAAGCGCTAGAATATCTCGTTGCGACTGGTCTTTCTGGCTTTCCAGAGCCAAGACGGTTGACTGCCAGATCTGATCGTATTGATCTCGAAAATTTCGCAGCTCTGCCAATACTGTCTGGTTTAGTTCTGCCAGGACTGAAGAGATTTTCAGGATCTGTTTTTGCTCGGATCTTTGAAAAGCATCTTGTACGTGTTTGGACTGCTCTTCGACGTATTTGAGCGACAGTGTCAGGTTTGATTCCACTTGCTGTAAGCGCTTGGTAACAGAGTTGAAAAAACCCTCTTGAATTGTTGGCGGCGATGGAGTGGCAATACTCGTTCCATTGACTCTAGACCTGCTACTCGAGGCGGAGGCCACCGGAATTTTCCCCGTAACGGCCGCAGGCGATAAGGACGAAGTCATTTCCGTCGTGGCAGATCTCATGCCTTTAGATGCAGTCTTGTCGCTACGCTGTTCATCTTCGGGATTTGTGCTCGATTCGCTTGCCGATTTTGCGTCTTTGTAAATTGTAGACGATGTTGCGGTATGGCCTGAGCTTTCCTGCGCGGTTGCAGAGATTTGCCGTTGCTCAAGTTCGATTGTTTGATCATCGACAACTACTCCGTATTGTGCGCTGTTAAGATCTTCATTTGCCACAACCGAATTGTTCATGAAAGTCGGAGGCTTGTCCACCAGGCATATTAATGAGGGCAGTGGGAATGGCGTTGCCTCGATAGTAGGACACATATGAGCGACATTTGCGGATATATTGTTATTCTCCTTGATGTCGTCTGATTTGGATAAGTTTTCTTGAAGGGTGTTTCCGATTTCTGCAACGCCTTCAATCTCACCTACGTGATCATCATCGGGCCCAATCTCACTATCTTTCCACTTGTCGAGCATTCGGGACCCGTGGACTCGTACCAAGGAGACAGGACAGTAGTACTCATTGCCATAATGAGTGAGAAATTCGAGTCTTAGGTACTTTGCCCATATTTGCGGGTTTTCGACCAAAAAGGCTTGTATGTCGCGTGAGTTTCTCGCCTCAAATGTCCCCAGTTCCTTCCATTTCTCCATTCTAACGGGGTAACGGTCGCTGACGCTTACTCTAAAATGACGTATCATGCTGGAAAAGAATTCAAAGTTGGCCAGAACAATGGTATCAACCCAAATATCATCCGTCAGCTCGATAATGACATATTTGTTTGGCGTTGCGCATTCGAGAAGCATATATGTATCTTTATTCTCGACCAGAATAGCCTTGGAATTTTTGGCGCCGGGGTTTGTTTTGAGGATGGTGGCTCCGGCGTCAAATGACGCAAAGGAAAATCGTTCCTTGCAGGTTTTACCCGCATCCTTGCTGCGGTGGAGTGTCGTCTGTCCAGCTTCGGAAGAGGACTCCTCGGGGTGCTCCCCACCGCCATCATAAACATCTTCAGCATCTACCTTCTCCGCGTATCCACCGAAGTTTAAAGAAATTTCTCCTTCGTCCCCCATATCACTTCCTGTGTATGATCGGGGTCTTTGATGCCCGTCGTTGTGCACGTCTAAGCCTTTCCGTTGCTTGAGATCTTGAGGGGTTTGCCCTGTCCTTTGTAGCATTATATTCTTCCAGTCCTCGAATGACATGAAAGGTTCGGCTGTCGAGTCGGTGTCTGCTGATCCGGAAGCTTTCTGAGCTATCGTAGTTGAATCTTGAATTTCGACCGGTCCCGTCTCATCAACAGTTGGAGTGAGATTATCTCCAGTCGGTGTAGGCTCAGTAGCTGTGAACGGCGGTGTGCTCTCCGCCACGGCTGCTGTGCTTGACCAGCTGCTGGTAAGGCATAGTTGCGGCAGCGTGTGTGTAATATAATTGATCATACGCGCTTCGCACTGGCTTGTACCGGTTATAGACCCGCCTGAACTTGATCTCGGTGCTGTCTCAGCTTGAGTGACGCGTGTCTGCTCGGTCGCATGGAGGCCTGACGCCGTAGCGAGGAGCAATAGTATAGTCGATACATTGTTTTGTCCTTTCGCGGTAGTCGGCATTTTTTGGGTGTCAGTAAATCCATTTGCGACTACCATGCGCAAATCTTGCCAGCCGTTTTGCCTTGGAAGTTGGTTGAAGTTGGTTTGCAGATAACAGGTTGATAGAGGGCAGTTTATTCCTGTCAGGATTGATGTGGGGGTGGACCCATCAACTGACTCCACGCTACTGCCCAACACGAGATGCGGCAGAAGAATGCAGTACCCAGGATTACACACTGAGGGATGTTGACGAAAAGAATGGGAATAGAGACTTCTCATAGTTGAAATAGTCATATTTACAGTATTAGTTTCTTCTTTAGCAGGGAAAACGCGGCAGTCTTGTTGCCAGCAGCTAAAAATGACATGAAGCTATTGATGGCCACCAGAGTGTCAATGTCGGTATTGTGATGCTCCGCGTTGTTAGCCTCAATCGCGTTGGAATAGAGATTAGAACCTAATTGGCTGAGACCCAGGAGCTGAAAAAGGCGTCCTGTATTGTAATATCTCTCCGCAAGCGGCCTTGCTCCCTCACTTTCGCCCGCCTCAAAATACTGAGCAAGGAAAGCTTGGCCTTGCAGAAGAAGATACTGCCGGTTTGTTGACTGTCTTTTCAACCCATAATGAACGTATGCCAAACCTAAACTCAGGTTGACCATCGGATTCCTGGGATCCAGTGACCTTGCTCGTAAGAAATAGCCTATGATACACGATGAGACCAACGCTGATATCTGTTCAGTTAGAAAACTCACTAATAGCATATGTATAGCTTGTTGACGTAAATAATATATGACCGTAGAGCATTAGGAGACAGACATCCATGTCGATTCTCGAAAATGTGGCTTCCCCAGCCTCACTTGGTTCAAAGTTTGTGGCAAATAACTGCTCGTAGCTGTTGTCAATAGCCCGGATCTGTCGAAGAATAAACTTCTGTGCCGGACCCGAAGTGTACCAAGACACAGGTGACTGGCATAATCTCGAAAGGAGAGCAAACATCCGATTCGCGTCGGACATGACACCGTTCCTCATCAAATGTCTGGCAATCGCAACACATCGTTCCTCATCGTTGGTATAAATTGCACAAACTAGGCTTATTAGAGTCGTCAATCGAGATAGAAGGGGCAAAATCAAATACCGGTCCATGCAATGTGAATCAGAAATTCATAGCTCGAAGCTTGAAAAACCACCGAGTCTTTAGCAGCTTCACACACCTGATAAGCCTCCTCTCGTTGATGGTCTATGGCCAGTCCAATAGCATAGTCCAGGAAGATGTTGAGCCAGTTGTCAAAGGAAATGCCCTGGTGCATTCCTTGGTGAATGCCTGCCACACTGCTGTCGGCTTGTGGTGCGAGAGCTGGTTGCATCTGTATGTCAGACTTGTAATAGTACTGCACATATCATTTATACTTACATCGCGTCAAACGCTCATACATCTGCGACAATTCACTATCTGGCGCTTGTGAAGGCATCGACATAGACACTTGTTTTTTTCCGAGAAAGTGGAGGTACTTGTCCCAGGAATAAAAACGTTTCAGGGATCTGAACTCGTCAACTAAGTCCCGTGATGCATTCATCCACTGTCCAGTGAGATTGACTTGTCCTTCCGAGATTCGAAGTTTTAAGTCTCTCACGATATCATACTGCTTCGACAACTTGATCGCACGCGCTTGCTCATCTTGGCGCAATGTATCGGCACCCGCTAATCGCTTTGGCCTATAGCGCTTTGGAACGTGCAATTGCTTGTTTATTCCAGCATTGGCAGCAATTTGAATAGTCTGTGACATGCGACGTCGGATCTCCCCTTGATGAATAGTTGAACGGCCGGTAATATCCGTTCTTCCAAGGCCAGTTTGGTGATGCCGCGCATCTTGCAGGGCCATAGCTTCTGCTGCCAGGATGAGAGCCTCTTCGCCTTCTTTAGCCTCTTCGTACATATTAGCTAGCTCAATGCGGGCATCAATCGAATCTTCATCGGCATCGATGGCAGCAAGAAAGCACTCCTCTGCCTTTGGCTGCTCTCCGGCTGCAATGTAGCACCTGCCGAGTTGCAGTAATATAGTAGAGTCTGGAGCATTTGAAGTCTCGCGAAGAATCTCTAATATACTTGTGGCGACATCTGTAACGGCGCTTTTCATGAGTTCCTCGGCAAGATCATACGCGACAGCTGGGAATTCGCCAACGAAGTCTCTAGTATCTTGCGTGGAATGGTCAAGATAGTTCAGGTGTCTCTGGTGATTGTAAGCGATGTGGTGCATGCAGACAAGTTGAGCTGCTTCTGTAGCTTACCATAGCCTCACCCTTATCCAGGAGTCTAAGGCGTAGCATGGCTAGTCTCATCCTGAGGTCGAGTGGTAGAGATTCACCATAACGCGACGGCGAGAACAATGAATCCGTGAAGTCAGTGCATTGGCTTCGCCTACTACTGTCGATATCCCATTCACGGTCATCATCTTGGACATAATCCCAGTATTGCTCAGACACCCGACCGACCATCCACCTTGCAAGGGCTTTCAATTCCTTAATGGTTTCGCGGTAGCTGCCGCTGGACGCGCAGAGGTCTGCATAAATGCCGATATCGTACCAAAGTCCTTCGAACCTATCTCCCGGTCCGTATGGTATTACAGAGTCGAAGAAGCGCCGGTATGCCGTTTTTGCAGATGCGTTGTTAGAAATATTTTCTTTTCCATCGGCGCATGTTTCTGCCAGTTTCCGGACAATGTCAAGATCCGCAGGTCTCTGTCTTAGCAGATAGTTGTATTCCAGTATTGCTTGCGAATAGTGACCTTGGCTATGGCACACGGCTGCCTTGCCCAGTCTTGCTTCCCGGTTATGCGGGTCAGCCCTAAGAGCTGCCGAGAAGCACAGTCTTGCTGTTTTCATGTTTGCCTCTTCATCTCCTCCAAAGTTATTGAGTGCATACGCTGCGCATGACATCCAGCCGCCGATGTCCTTCGGTCGGAGATGTGCAGCGTACATCATCGCTGCGAGAGCACGGTCCAACTCGCCCTGCTCCCTGAATATTGACGCGAGAGCCGTCCAAGCCTGGAACGTTTCCGCATTGATTCGGATTACCTCCGAGACGAGCTCCAACGCGCGATCATAGTCACCAGTCAGGAAGGCTTGGTTAACCCTAGATAGGCGCGCAGTGATATCGCCTCTGGGCTTGGCTGCCTTTCTTGGACCACGAGACCCCCTTCCTCCTCGAGATGGTCTACCGTAGGTATGGCCATCTCCACTACCCTCATGGGAGGCTAGAAATTCGCGGACGGATTCATCAAACTTCGCAATGTCACCCTGGAGCTCCTCAAGATCGGAATCCGCGTCAGATTTGTCATCGCGCGCAGGGCTAGCCATCGTCTCAACAACTTAGCCGGATGCCAAAGGCACAATGACGCCCATGTAGCACGCGCCTAGCGTTGCAAGGTCGTATCGAGAAACATCGCCGTATATAAGCACTAGGGGTAAAGTTTAGTGCCTGTACTGGCGAGATGTAGTGAAGGAGGCTTCCAAGTGTTTCATGCGTTTTTGTGTTGTGTACAGTAAGATGGAAATGAAAATCGGAGCCGCGAGTTTACTAAAAGCCCCACATTCCGGGTCTAGTTCACAGAGACAGAACAAGCATTTTGTAGATACAAGAATTGTCAAGTAGCGAGTAGAACCAGAGATTCGCGCAACATGCTCAAATTAGATTACAAGACGATGCATATTTACATTCAGAAACTTGAACGCAAATCTAGAGTTGCAACAATGCTTTAGTATCATATCAAAACTGTCTCGTCTGAAGCTTCATCAAATATACGTCCCTTAGGCCATGATGCTAACTAGTCGATGGAAACAGATTTCACATCGCTTACGCATCATCGCCATGTCCACCCTGTACCTGCAGAATGTACATTAACCAATGCGTCCATCAGCCTTGGCGTCTATAGGATGTCAGCAGTGAGCGTATGTCGACGTCGGGCTGCGATATTGAACGTACCCTTGACTTGTTCGAATACCTTGAGCATCTTCCTCCTAGCACCGAGAGCATTTACTCCGCGATCCTCCAATGCCTTGTCATCCAATTCAATGAGATCGGTCCATTTCATATCCTTGAGATTATCCGTGTACTTGTGTAAGCGGAGGCTGCGAAGCCAGCTTGGAATATCCTGGAGCAGAGTCGGGTCCGTAGGATCCTCTGGTGGCTTTGAGCTACCTCTACGGCCTCTGGGCGATCGTCCACGCACCATATCCGAGTGGTCTGACAGATAGCCCTCATGTCCAGCCAAAGCCAATTGCCCCAGATTCACGGCAGGAATACTACTGGCCATGACACCAGAACCGTCATATGCGCTCAAAAAGCCATTGTGCTGAGGCGAGGCAAACTGTGCCATTTGTCCCATAGGCTGCTGCATGGAAAGACCAGGGGAGCTGGGTCGCGCGCGATTGCCGAGCCCGAGCCCCTGCTGAGATTGCAATGCGAGAATCTGCTCTCGGCTTAAGACTTGACCATGCTCATTGATCATAACGACGTTGGCACCGGGAATGTTAAGGCTGTGAGCATGAGCAGGGGCCGACGATATTTGGTTGCTTCCGGGCGCATCGTTCGAACGAGCTCTTCGGTATTTGCGAGCGTCATCAAGAGCAAAGCGATTGTTTACGGTGGAGAGGGCAGCCAATTTCATTGCAGTCGCATTTGCAACCATATCAGCCTGTGAGCCCGGCTGCTGGTTGGTGTTGAAGGTGGATGTCATTGGCGTATTAACCATGGATGCCCAGTTCCCGCTGCCTCCACCGTTATAAGGGGAAAGCATCGGGAGGTCAGACGGATTCTTTTCGGGTGCAGCGAGCGTGGTGTTCTGAATAGTGGCGTTATTTCCGAGTTGAGGTAGCGGTGATCGCAAGCCTCCTGACGACACAGGCTGCGCGAATTGGCCCATGGCAGTTTGGGAAGCAGAGGCTTTGGCGTTGTTCGGGTCCGAGCCCCATGGGGAGACCCCCGATCCAGCTGCTTCGCGAGAGTCTTGGAGAGCACCCAGCGACGATCGTGGATCAACAGCTGCGCTATTCCTGTTGGATGACGGCGGGTTTCCAGTTTGCTGGGTGAATTTAGCCTTTTCAGTAGCAATGGCGGCCGCAGCATCTGGAAACATGGCATTGATCGTCGAGGAATCTAAGACAGAGTGGCGCTTGCCTGGAGCCGTCGTGCTAGCAGCGGCGCGGGTGAAAGAGTTTCGGGATGAATCGACCGAAAGCTTGTTCATCGCATCGCTGAGTCGATTAGACATGGGATCTAAAAGATACTGGTCAGTTTCCTGTCTGATATCCGAGAGCTATATGAACCATACCTTTATCAAAGGTAGCGGGAGAGAGCACGCCGGACATGGGATGGTTTTTGCCCATTTGCTGCAAAACCTGAATGAAGAAACGAATCTGGACCTGAGTTGTTTGCTGAAGCAGGGCATAAAGAGCAGCAGTTCGTTCGGCCTCGCTCAAGACACGAAACCACTGCTCGATAGCACTGAGCTCATCCTTAAAGTCCTGGTCCAGCGTTGCAGCAGCCATTTCTTCTAGAGTCGTTTCATATTGATCGATATCGGCAATCCACTGCTGAGCAATCTTATCCTGCGAATCGGTATCGAAAGATCCTTGACCATGAGACTGCTGCGACTGGCCATAAAAGTCTGACGATGGTCTAATACGACTGGATGGAGCTGGCCCAGAGATGGAACTCATGTCGGCAGATGCGCGAAGAGAGCTGGCAGAGCCTACAGCCCTGGAAGAAGGAGGTCGCAAGGAAGACGCCGAGTTCGCTTCAGGGGTGCTGTTTCGGTTCCCGATGATGTGGTTCCCGGACATGTTGAGCATTGTTCGTTCGATCGAAGACGGCTGAGATCCAGAAAGATGTGTTCAGGGATGCAATGACCCCAATAATTAACGAGAAGATAAATCTGCTTGACTCCTGCAGCAAACTGCTGACCTCAAAGGAGTTCTGATGGGGATATGGCAGTCAGACTATCGCATGTTACAAAACGAAAGGAATTTCTGCGCGGAAGTGTCAGGTGAGGCCTGGGGTGGCAAGATCGGCGCTCAGAGCTGTATGTACCTGTAATAAACATGAAAAAATCTCGAAATAAAATAAGAATGTCTGCTGCCCGGCAAACGGAAACCGACCCCCTAGGGATATATCGTCGGTGATACAACCAATAACCACGGAGAAAGGGGATTTCCAGGTTGAGAAGAGGTGGAGTTGCGTCGAAACAGCGTGGTGCGCCCAAGGCTCAGCGCTTGCTCCATATTGGTGTCTTAGGTAATGCGCCTTTAGTCCGTCCCGAGCCACACAGTCCCCATCCGATGGACGTAACGTTTGGCGTTTGGGATGTTTGGCAGGGTAACCGTGCTGCACTTCATTCGAAAAGATATTCATGAGGCATTAACGTCTGAGCAGTGTGATAGTCCAATTCTGGAATATGCAAAATCGCCGCATTCAGACAATTTAAGCTGCTTTCGCGACGCCAGGGGTCGCCCTTCCATTATGCAAAGTGGCCTCGTTCGTAGATTATGCCGACATGTGTAGAGTCTCCAGAGATAGTGTCCAGCGTTCAGTTGAAGATGTCCGTCATTCTCTCAGAATCTTCATGCCTACAATGCCTACAGTGGATACGGTTTACGAGGGTGCGGCCAGCAAAGAAGTTCGCAGGACGGTGATTTACTGAGCAATACTGTAGAGCTAGAGGACATTTCGTTTGAGTCAAATCTCTGGTAGTGGCCCCATGATTCTCTAAGATGTTGCACAAGCATCCGGTTTTCGTTTCGTAGGGTCGGCCAGTCGAGACACTCGGTTGAACAGCCGTGATAGCATCGTTAAAATCGACAAGGGTCGAGACAATGTGATGTGATCAGCAAATGAAAGCCGTGAATGATTTTTTCTTTTCATTTATTGACCAGCCTTGGAACAGTCAAGCTGGAGAGGTCGACTGGGAACCTCAATTGTATCCCATCCTATGCATTATTCCGTTAAAACTTCACAGACCCATTTAAACAGTGTCGCGCTTGCCCTCCTTGGCCTCTTTCTGTCGTGGCAGTTAGCAGTTGAATGGAGAGGAGTCGTCGGTCATTGCGCACCAGAGCCTTCATGTTGCCGTGTAGGGCGTGTCTGTGGTTTCGGCGGAATTTGGGGTCGGTACCCTTTAGGGAAGGGTAGCGCGAGGTCTTGGGCTTCTTGATACTGTAGAAGAGTTAGGACTGACGAAAATGGGTAGGATGATGAGGGAACCGAACCCGTTGCGGTGCGCCTTGCGCGTCTGATTATGCTGAGAACTGTTCTTTGACTCTGTGGAAACAAGGTCAGAAATCTGACGGCCTTATTCGAGTCATTGAATAGCAACTTACTGGCCATGGCTGCGGTTTGATGGTATGCGATCAAATGAGACGTAACTTGCTATGTGAAGCAAGCGGAAAATGTGTGTGAATTCGAAAGCCCTAGCGAGACTGTGGGGCAGACGCTGACCTAATTATGCATGCTTCCTCCACGTAGGCACAGAAGGCAACAGGTGGTCTTCGTCTGCTTAGTCATACTTCTAATATGTCCGGTTTGCCATTTTAGGTTGGTATGTATTTTACATCTTCCTAACCCGAATGTACTACTTAAGCACGAATACACGTCAAGTTGAAGAAAAAAAAAGACAACAAGTACGTGGGATGAAAACGAACGCAGCCTCTCTAATAGTCCTGTAAAGACACTAGATACTCTATTCTACTTGGTGGTAAGCAATGTTGCGCTTGTCGCCGCTTGACTAGTGATAGCGGCGGCGGCTTGTGGTACCTTTTTCGAACGAAGATTCGCAAGCCATCGGAAGAAAAGGACAAAAAGCAGCTCGACTCTGTCACAATGGTCAGCGTAAGGTGTGGCTGGAAGGGCAAAACGCCGGCAATTTACCTTTCTTTGGTCATCATGAGGATTCCTTGCACCAAGAATCCCTTCATAATCTGAGGTCCGATGCCCTTAAAGAGACCAAGCAGACCTTCGTTTTTCACGATGAAAGCCATTACCTCCCCGAAACTCTTGAACGGCTTTCCGTTCCTCGACGCGGGAGGCTTGGACTGCAAACCGACCTTGGCGACAATGAGGGGCTGTGTAGCAATGGTTGCCAGTGCCTTAGAAGTTGCACCGAGAACTGGAACACAAATTAGGCGCAAATAACGAGTGTTATTGCGAGACGAAACTCACGGAAGGCCTCCCAAGGCTTGATGCTAGTCCTGCCGGGGCAAAAAGTCTCTCTGAGACGCTCGTAGGCGCCATATGTGATGGCTGGGTTGATCACCAGAACCAGACTGGCTTTCAATCCTCTCCAGAGACCGCTTACGCCATCTGGGCCCTCGATGACTTCCTTAGCGGTAGCAAGCAGTCCTCTGCGATCGATCTTGCTGGCAGTCTGCTGTCTAGTCGTTACAACGGCGACGGGGATTGTGAAAAGCTGGGCGAGGGCACCAGCAACGGCACCTAGAGACAGCTCGGTAGCGGTTGAATTGGCGGCAATGCTCTTGCTGTAGCTGGCGTATACCGAGCGGACGATTGTGTACCAGTAGAAATACGCGAAGTTGGTGGAGGCAACACCGAGTAAGGATCCGCCCATACCAGTGTAAAGACCCTCAACGCCTTCGTCTTTGAGAATTCTCGAAACGGCATCCCAAGTTGAGGAATAATGCGGCGTATCCTTATCGCTGGCGGCGGCACCGGGCTTTGGTGGTTCTTGAACCTGGAGCTTTGTCTTGACACTATGAAGGGCCGTGGTTAGCTCCAGCCGGCCTGCTGAACTGAAAAATGCGTAATTGGCGAAAAGACGAACATGTCGAGGGGATACACGAGGGCATTGGCAAGGACAGCACCGGTCGCGCCCGCGACAGCGCCTCCCCATGGCGAAATGACAGGCTTCGATTGCCCGGTCATTGCAGCTGCCGGCTAGTGGCGGTGCGTGCTATATTATGAGTGAAAGATGGCGACAACACAAGGGGGCCTGAGAGGAATGAGAGACTGCGTCGCGTCCTTGAGTCTGGCGAAGAGCGATAATGGAATAGAATCAGAGAGTTGTTCGGGAAGAGGGAATGGCAAGCTTCGCTCAGCCGGCGAGAATGAATGCGAGAATGAATGCATTGAACCGTGGTGCTCCGACACCAAGCACACTGGACCTCGGTCCCGCAGCCGTGTGGGCCAAGTCGGCGCGTTGGTGCGCTCGATGGTTAGGTACCTAGGTACTTCTATGTACCTGGGCACCTGGGCACTTGCCTACCTACCCTAAGTACCTGCTTACTGATACAAGACAAGAACTGGACAGACACGGGCCAAGGAACTACCTATACCTAGTTTGCCAGCCAAATCTAGCCAAACCCGCCTGGAGTAGATTGTATTCGTCCGTAAATGAATTAGCGTTTATCAGTCATTGATCTCCTGGCTTGTTACCAGTGGTGACCTCGGTTGGTCCACAGACCCTCAACGTGTGCGGCGCTGTAGGTAGTCTTGGAACGGATGGGCGGGAGACAAGTGATCAGAGCCTTCTGACAGGCTCTGGAGGCTGGAGCCGGGCAATTTACAAGGCTACATCACCAGTCTTGCTTGCGACCGTGAAATACTTAGGTAGGCCCCTAGAAAGGTAATCGAATAGCAGTTGTTCTGAATAAGCTTAAGCAGGCTTCTTACTATTAATCACGCAGTGCCCCCGTTGTGACTGCTTCTCCGCCCGCGCCCTTGCCAGACAGCCGAGCCTTCCGCCGACGAGCGAGTATCACATCTTATCGCAGTGGCTGTATCCAACATATACCGCGCCTATGCCCGAGTATAAGTGACTTGGCAGTGTGAACTATGTACGGTCTCTTGGGACTGCATCATTGGTCGCCTCATAGCTCAACGGATTTGTGTATCCCCCAAACCCGCAAATCACGCATTTGCCTCGCAGCGGTTGGTCATCACATGTAAACAGCCGATTGCACAAGCAACGACAGTACAGGTCCGCGTGCCATCGGCTTTCATTCTCGACATCGCGCACCAGATCCCTGTACAACAATTTATTGTCACTGTAGAGCTCAAATTCACATAGCTTTGGTGTCTGCCGTCGAAACCCGTGTGGCGAGTTGGCGCTGCCGTACCTGAAGCCGAGATGCACTTTGCCAACAAACCGAGATATTCCTATATCGGGATACTATCCCACTACTCAATGCATCACCAAACTTACTCCCGCGCTGCCCCATTTTGCTAGCTGGCGACCTTAGCTCGGCCAATTTTGAAGCTCAGCACCTACTTGCACCTCGCTTGCTATTTCTGCAAAAGATGCCATGAGACGCGCTGATTGAACAAGCATGGAGAAAGATGCGCAGGTAAATGGGATGGGCCAGACCCCGCCTTGCTCTACGCTGCAGCTGACCTCCTGGGGTAGGCCGCTGAAGCTCTAGCTGCAACCTCAACCGGCAAGGCCGCGCTGGACTATGCAATTCAGGCAGCCGAGCTCTATATGCGAGCTGCGAGCGTTACTTCTAGCAAGCAGGATGCTGCTCGCTTTCGCCAGAGATGCAAAGCGCTCATCGCGAAGGCGGAAAAGCTCAAAACGCAGCTTCCCAAAGCGCCACCCGAACGCAATGGATCCGACATCTTGCGCCAATCGTCGCTTTTGCATGGAAATGAGTTCCCGCCATGGGATGAAGACCCGTCCGATGCTGAGTTCCAGCACAAATCGGGACAGCAGCTGTTCACGTACGCAACTGTGCTTCATCTTTCGCGCACATGTTGCTGATTTTCTTTGCTAGCGACGAGACACGATTCAGCCTGTCGCCAATCCAAACTGAGAATTTTGCATCATGGCAGAGGCCACAGGATTTACACGATTTACCTGTTAATAGCGACCTGGAAGCCCTCATGAGACCCTCCCAGAGTTGTAACTTGGTTCAAGACGTAACTACAGACTGCTCTGTTGTGGCTAGCCTTTCAGCGGCAATTGATATGCTGACGGGCCCGCATTCGGTAAGCCCTTTTGCGCCGTCTCGATGATGCTACAACGATACTGAAGCGCGAATCGAATAGGTGCTCTCTTCCATCATTTACCCATTCGACCATGATAACGGCCACCCCAAGATATCGGCCTCTGGAAAATATGTATTTCGCATGAATTTCAACGGTTGCTGGAGACGTGTTGAGATAGATGACCGACTGCCCGCCTCGAGAACCGATAGGACCCTGTTCGTGGTGGATAGACGAAATCCCCGACTCATCTGGCCAGCGCTCCTGGAAAAGGCCTATCTCAAAGTACGTGGCGGCTACGACTTCCCAGGTAGCAACTCTGGCACCGATCTTTGGGTACTTACAGGCTGGATCCCCGAACAACTATTTCTCCAAAGAGAAGACTTCGATTTGAGCACAGCTTGGAGGAGGATCAAGGCTGCCCATGAGACACAGGACGTGGTAGTCACTCTTGGAACCGGTCGCATATCTGCGGAGGAGGAAGAAGTCATGGGTTTAGTTGGAGAGCATGATTATGCCGTTCTCGATATGGACTGCTCTAACGGTACACGAAAACTACTGATTAAGAACCCGTGGTGCAACGGACCCGTGTGGACGGGCGCGGGCTGGTCCACGCCGCAAAAGTCCCCGAGGGCCGAGATTGGCCAGGACGGAGGCAAATCTAGCCACAAACCGGAGTTATCCTCTTCCGGCACACTATGGGTTGCATTCGAGGACGTGGCACAACATTTCGAATCCATGTACTTGAATTGGAATCCGAAGCTTTTCCCGCATCGTCAAGATCGACACTTCAACTGGAGCACACCACCAAAGCACCTCGCCGCATCGCTGGTTCGCAATGTACAGCACTCCATTACTTCCCTCAGAGGTGGCCTTGTCTGGATGCTAGTCAGCCGCCACTTTGTCGACCAAGAGCTGGTCATGATGCGGCATCGCCGGGGCTCCATGGCCGCGGTTGCCGAGCAGCTTGGGTACATGAGCATTCTCATCTTCGAAACTAACGGCAAAAGAGTACAGACTAGTGAGGACCAGCTATATCGCGGGCCCTACGTCGACTCACCACAGACTCTGGCCCGATTAGAGACAGAGCCGGGCAAACGATACACCATTGTCCTGGATCAACAGGAACTGCCGCTAAAGAGCTACAACTTCACCCTCACCGTCTTCTCTGAGCTTCCCGTTGAATTACGTGAGGCGCAAGAAGAAATGTCACATTTTCAAGAAGTTGAGGGCACATGGACTCGACGTACAGCAGGAGGCAACTCATCTCTCTCCACCTACTTCATCAACCCTCAGTATAAAATCTCTACGACACAAATTGGGCCCATATCCATTCTACTCATGACGGGCGACCAAGACGTACACGTTCACGTCGACCTCGTCTGGGCATCCGGTAAGCGAGTGACGTCTATTCGCGTCAAGGATCTAGTGGGAACATCCGGAGAGTATAGACAAGGATGCGCCGTTGCCAACATAGCCAAACTTGATCCCGGCATCTATACCTTGGTTTGCTCAACTTTTGAAGCGAATCAGACTGCAAACTTTGCCCTCAGAGTATCGTCCACCTCGGACGTTGAACTAGAGTCCATCCCGGCCGATGCAGCTGGTCGTCTGCGCAAATCCCTCACACCGCTAGTGCTCACCGAACGAGAGGAGCGGATGCGTGCCCAAATCCGGGTTTCCTGGCTCACCCGAGGCAGCGTCTGCATTCGAAGCGTCGGTCCCAAGAACGCCAAAGACGAGGTCATACGACAGCCGTCCTCGCTCATGATCCGAGTCTATCTCGCGCACGGCTGGGGTCCCGAGCAGCTCGTCATTGCTGAGTCGGGTGATGGCGATTTTGTCGAGTCCACAGCTGCACTACGAACGCCAGAATTTGACCTTGAGCCGGAGCGGACACACTCGGGACAGATGTGGCTTGTTGTTGAGACGATTGGAGTTCAGAACACCTCTACATCCCTTGAAATGGATGTTTTCAGCGACTCACCCGTTCAAGTTGGTTCATGGCAGAGCTGGTGACGTGTCGTCATACCAGTCAGAGTAATAGCCAGAGCGAGACACATACAACGGATACACATTAAACATGGACAGAGAAATCGGCAAAACAGTGTGTGTTGGGTATAGTCGCAGGTGAACAAAAAAATATATATTTGACTTGCATCTGTGTCTTCGTGGTATCGTCTCCCTACAAAATCAACATCGACTCGAACGCCAACCCAGCTAGCTGCCAAACCGAAAATAAATGACGTCATGATAAGCATATAAAAACCAAGATACAGTGCAGAAAGAAAGAAGAATACCGGTGTTAAGTAAAGGCGGGGCCGAATACTCAGCAAATTTGCAACAGGCGACGGAATACAAGAACATGCTGCAGCTCGGCCTGCAGCTCGGTTTGACAACGATGGGCTATGCAGCAGGAGCCCTCCGTCTACGCCCGCGATTTGGGCCGTCTGGTCGCTGGGACAGAACTTCTCGTAGCAAAGGGTCATCTTTGTCTTTTTCTAAATGATGAACACGGACGTGTCTAGGATGACCGAGTAAGCGAACGATGCGTCGTGACTTGGAGGCTAAAGTATACGTACCGTTGTAAATTATCTGGACGAGGATATTTATGCTCACGGTCTGGGCAAAATGGACAAACGTATCCTGGAGAGTCATGCACCAGGCCGTGTCTGATCATTTCGTTCTTGCGTTTGAATCCCTTGCCGCCCTCGCTTCTGGGACAGCCTTTGACGGGACAGTAATGGGGACGAGCCGAAGAGTGGACATTAGCATGTGAATTTAACAAGTACTGCGTCTGGAATGGATGAGCATTGCAGCCATCAAAAGTGCAAATATACGAGCCAATCGAACCGCTTGTGATGCCGTCGATGCTCATATGAGACTGTGTCGAAGTCGAGGGAGAATGTGCCGTGTCTCCATCAGAGCCTGTTCGAGATGTGCCGTAGCTAGAGCCGCGAGGAGGATATCCAAAAGAGCCTTCAGGCGATGCAATAGAGTGTGGTGACGGAAACTTGCTTCGATATCCATCGTTCGGTGAGATGGGTGGCGATGCGTGGCTCGCTGATATCGGAGGGAGCCGAGGGATAGTACCTGATGGTGAGGTGGGACATTTTGGAATCTGAGTAGGTGATCTTGATGGCTCCTTCTCAATAGGAGGAATTCTATTGATGTCACCAAACGTTGACCGAATGGAAGGCAAGCTTTGACCTAGGCTCTCTAATCCAGGTGAAACCATTTGCAACGGAGGCAGCCCTCCATTTGCCGGCACCAGCAGTGGTGGAGGTGATTGACTTTCGGATTTGAGGCGAGATCTAAAATTCGGAGCGTCTCGTGAAAGAGTGGACAAGCTTGGCAAGTGGTCGTCTCTCAAAGATAGTCTTCGCGTAGAAATGGAAATGTCGTTGGCGAGCTGCGGCAGCGAAATGGCTGTATCTCGCGGCGGTCTCACAGCCTGAAGAGCATCTGCTGCTAAGTGCTGGAGGCTCGGATCCTTCGACGTAGTAGATCCTTGGCAATGCCTTGCTTCAAGAGACGCTACAGCGGACGGGGGCCGTCTGTCCAACCCGGCCAATGTGATGCTAGTGGGCGGAGCGAGAGTCTGCCGGTGACTGGAGTGGTTCTTAGAATCAGCGTTTGGCTGCAGAGTTAGAAGTCGTTGATTTTCCGACAGAGGGAAACTCATAGCCTCGTTTCGGGAAGCAAGGAATGCTCTTGGAACTCTTTCCTGGCCAAGGTCACTTGTCTGAGGTTCCAATATAGCGCCAGGCGTACGGTGAAATTTAAGAGTCGTCTGTTCGTGGTGCTGTGATATCGCAGAGGATGCTGATGAATGAGTTCGAAATGCAATCGTCTCGAGACCCAGGGAAACTGTTTGCTTTCGCGAATGACGTTTTTGTACGGCCGTCATTGTGCTGTGTAGTGAAGCAGCAGCAGACACTCGCCTGTCACTTGCTCGAGGTACTGTTAAGAACCGAAATCGTCTTATTCCCTGGTGTATCGTAGGTAGGGTCTGGAATGTGTAACAGTGCAACCTGCTTTGAGAAACAGCTATAGCGTCGGTAACAGATGCATTTGTCGGTTGCCAGAATAATTTGGACGTGTCCTGCAAAGCTTCCAAAACAGAATTGACAGCTTATACGTAAGAGGCAGACAATAAGAGGAAAGGGATAGTATCAGGAAGAATTTGAGCTTTGTCGGGGCCAAGTGGTGCAGATGGCTGGTCTAAGTGCGAACGGCGACGGTGCGCCTTCCACAACACCTTGGAACAAGCACTTGTGGAACGTCAATCACAGACTGACTGACGGATCTGCTGCAGGGGCAAGGCACAAACTACGCGATGAGCGCTAACATGCTTCTCATGCGCGGACGATGCTTGACGCGCCACGGAACAGGGCGCTGGCCAGATGTGGCACTCGGCTGGCCAGCCAGGTGAGATGACGCCAATGTTGATAGGGAGCAAATCTCGTCAGCAGCGCCACCTATGTTCACGTATGGTTGTCTAATAACAAGGATACGCGAGCTGTACCAGCGCGGCGTCTCCAATCTGATGGTAGACAAACGTTAGCGGTATTGAAAGTGGCGTGCAAGAAGAAATCGGCGCCACGAGGCAGGCTCTCTGGCCATTCAGCCCCGGGAGCCGTTCTGTACTTGACACACAAGAGGGGAGTATCATGCACCGTGAGTGTAGGAGACAGCAAGCGCTGTATCACACCTATTAGCTGGGTTTGGTCAAGATGAAACAAGCAGTATGTTGATACACAAAGACTGAGTAACAGTGAAGTTGAGCAAAATGGAGGGCGGGCACAAGCAGAGGAAGAAGTAGAGGGGAAAGGAATAAAAGAAATAGATTCGGTTGTGGGTGCCCCAAGAAAGGTGCCGTGGAGTCCAAGCCGAACATGAAGAGATCTGGATGGGGCGCTTGGGTGCGTGCATACAGAAGAGTGCAGGGTGCTGCACTCGGGCAAGGAACAAGATGGCAAGACCACGGCTGCGTATCCGAGAGATGGGAGCTGGCACCAAAATACAGGAATTGTTTCAAAGGGCAAGGAAAGCTAGGCAAAGGAGGAGATTGGGGCGGATATATTGCTTACCATGTATGGGGTAATTTTACTCTGCAGGCCGGCTGGGGAAAAATGCGGAGGGCAACAAACAACAGTTGCAGCACACTCAATCGCAATCAGGTACTTGATACAAGTTACTGTACGGAGTCGTTCCACTTGAAGCAGACTGTTAACTGCGCAGACCGGCGCTACCACGTAACAGACTGTGTTGTCTGGGGTGGGCGACCAGGAAGCCCCAACGAATTGAGCAACTCTTCCATCGCCTTCTCGATCTGCCGGATCAACTTTCTGGGGCTGCCTTGCTCCCCCATCCACATGGCTCCGGGAAAAGCACGGGGTTCCCCCCCCTCTTTAGTCTGACCGTATGCTTGGTTGTAGTAATACGCACCTCCTCTTGGGTCGCTCAGCCTCAGAACCACGGCTGGCTAATCTGGAGACCGGGGCAGGCTTTGATTCCGGACAAATAAGGTACCCTGCCAGCCAAGTCCCAGGAGCAGTGGATTCGTGGCATCCATGGACCATACCTGCTTTGACGAGACGGAGAGATCAAGCCATTACGGTGGATGCGTCGGCGGCGGCTCGCATGTATTTCCAATGCGGCTTCGGATACTGGGCAAGAGGTTCAGTACATGGGCTGCAGCCTTCAACAGCTGCACGAGCTCACAAAATGGGTTTACTTTGTAGATGGATGTGTGGGGGAGAACCATGTCTAGCGCTTTTGTCTAGCGCTTTTGTCTCGACTGCCACCTGGGACCAGGACGGATGGAAGGATGGAGGGAGGCACGGAGGGTTGAAGGGCTGGCTGGCAACTGGCAGGGGTAAAGAACCAAACTAACCAGAGTTAGCAGTCACCCAGTTTGTATTTACACTGGCGGGCGCGCTGTAGCGGCGCAAAATGCCGGCTACATAGAGTCTCTGTCTCGTCGGGGCCTTTTTCCCCGATCCCCTTTTTTTGCTGACCTCTCAGCCCCAAGTCTGGGGAGCGGGGGAGTCGCCTGGTTTCAAAGCCACGAATGATAAACTAGGTAAGCTTGGACCGATCATACCCACTCCTTGGTCTCAACCTGCTGCCCAAGACCTCTGAGAGCCAGCGGCGATTGGCGTCTAGGAGTACTGATAGATAATTGCAGTCTCTGGAGAGAAATATGGCATGGCGTACTTTGTACAATGTGTTCTACAGACTTGGTGCAAAGACGAGTGGACAAAACTATATTGCTTCAGGCACAGCAGCATGATGCTGTTGGGATAGTGGTGTCCAGCAACCCGCAGGTGGCTAGCTTGGCCCGTCATTAGTAGCAGCTGCAGAAGTCGCGGTGGTCGAAGCTACTTATTTTTGTAGAGTTTTTCTTTTTTAGACACTGCGTGATCCTTCGAAAGCTGGCTAGTCAAATGCGCAGGAGGAGGACTCAAAGGAGGCAGATACAACAAAACCACTGATCGCGGGAAGAGGCACCCGGAAAGCCTCGAGTATTATCAATTGCGAGTATGCTCCGAGTCAGGTCGCAGCCATCAGCTACAGAGTCCTGACTGATTGGGGACGACAGGATACACTGCGCTGAGGGCGTGAAAACAAGCTTGCCCTGATCAAGCCTTTCAAACAGTAGGGGGTCTTCTGTGATTCCCAGGAATCCATGAAGGCAATGAGGCTCTTAATATCACAGCGCGGCGGACGACCGATGGCCCAACTTAGTTTAGCCGCGCCTAAAAGGCTGGAACCGAACTTTGACTGATAAAGCGTTGCAGGGCAATCCTACATACATAGAATGAGTAGCGGGGAGGCACTCCAGAATGTGGGGGAGTCTTGTTTTTTGACCAGGTACATCTTGCCTTTGCTGTCAAAGAGGCCCCCACACCACCTTGAAAGGGCTATCCAACACGGCCTTCGGCCACCAGTGCTATTTACCAGTTGGTGGTCAATACTGATAGTTAAGCCGGGCCCCCTCAGACTGCAGTCAAGGTGCTTCCCAATAAACACAGGCTTCGCCGTTTATTTGGCAGACCGAGTCCCGAGCTTGATATTGCCAATTCGGCCATGCAATCACTGTGCTGCTTCATTCATGTACAGCCATGTAGAGAGCTTGCCTTCTCTCGCCTGCTCATTCGCACCGTTGGGCAAATACCCCGCACGGATCCCTGCTGTTATGCATACAATCAACCATTTTGTTAGCCGCAGGAGCAGATCAAGTGCTGGTGCAACTGCTGGTACCGATTCTTTTTGTCCTCGCCAGTTTGCCAGTGTTGCTTTCTAACATTTGATCACGCCAGCTTCAGTCTGGACTCCATAACGACAATTACTTCTGCATCATTAGCACATTGGGCTTTTCGGAGCCGCTGAAGCAGTCGGCCGTCTCCGCACCACTCTCTGGCCCACGGTCATGGGGCCGCGAACCGTGTCGTACAATCTGGAGAGCTGAGCTTGATATGAGAAGTAATAAGACACGGCCAAGACAGTAAAAAAGGAATTAGTGAGTGCCCGAAGAGCATTCCAGTATGAAGACCTCGACTACATACACCACAGCAATACCTCCTGGACATGCCTTTAGCTCATCTACGAACCCATAAAAAAGGGTTGGCATTTGAAATAAGCACTGCTGTACAACACGATAATTCTATGACAAGCAGCCAGCCAGCCAGCATCGAGACAAAAAAGCAACTCCTCTTCTTGTCTCTCCCCACACTGGCACAGTGGGCGAAACCAGCCTGCCCTTTCTATCCTTGACTGCGGGATTCTAGAGCCCAATCGATCCGTCTTGCTAAGCCTTCGTGGCCTTCCACGACCAGTGCCCCGCTTGCCGCGACTCTGACTCTGCAAAGACGGCCTGTCTCTCAACGATAGAGGGACGAAGTGCAAGCAATGGCGGGCGTCACAGCTAGCTGAAAGCCGTACGCCACTGTCTTGGCCCAGGCTTCTCCCATTTTGCCCCGCTCGCCCCCTTCTTGACGAAGAATGATTTACTAAAGTTATTTAGGAAGCTTTCTGCATTGCCGTTGACAATGATGTTTACATACATCCCTTGCCGCCACCACCTCTCCATTTCCGGCAAATCAAGTCGGGCTCGAGATGCACGCCTTCTCGTCAACAAACAGAACAAATTCTTGTCAAAAACGGGTAGTGACCTGACCTCCGTCATGTGTGCTTGCTTCTACAATCGTTGACGACATTCGACATGGAACTACGACTGTTCTTTTTTTCATACTAGTAAGCCATCCTCGCTACTTTGCAGCGCTCGACACATCTCCTCGTCCCAGAACAACCCGGGACACGAATGTACATCTGGAGAGCCGACTAGTTCTGGGGCTGTCGATCCCTCCATTTAGGCCCGTTCTTATCCCGGTGGGTCGGTCCCTGAGGCCAGCCACTGGCGAAGTTGCGATGCCGTCCGCAAGCCTTGGCCTGTGTGACACGGCGACGGCGGGAAGCACGGACATCCAAACGACGACCGTACCCAGTGATTTCCTCAAGGAACATGGAGCAAGTCCGACACGCGTGAGACGGGCTACACGAGTCCTCCTGTTCCTGCTAGCGTCCGCAACTAAATAAATTTGTGTACGGATAACCTGCAAGCCTCTGCGTACTTGTCGAGCATCTTGCCCCCAGATCCTATCTGTTCATCTCCGGCGTGGCTTCGAACAATTCCGAAAGATGGCGTTCTGTCATGAAATTTGATATACACTCGATTATGCCTACTCCCAATCTCCTTCATCGTTGGTAGTTATGCTTTGCCTGACCCCACAACCCCCCACAGTGCCTACCTAGATATTAGTACAAGTTTTTTTTTACTCCGCAACATTGGAGGACGTCTCAGCTTCGGCCGGCTTCTGCTCGGGATGCTCGGAAATTCCAATGGCGGGGGAGGGCTCTCTGTTAGTGCCGAGCATCGGGCCATTCTGACAGCCACTCAACCTGCCCGCACGCTAGTCAGTATGGGGGTACACACTACTGAAAATTAAACCTCACTGCATTATTAAAAGAAGCTGTTTCAGCACCGCAGCAAACTCGTTCAACAGTCCGCGACAGAATCGAAGATTGAATTTGTCATCACCAGCTCGAGGAGTCCAAAAATGCCCGCCATGGATATCCCGGCCACGATGAAAGCCGTCGTTTTCGACGGTCCCCGAAAAGTCTCAGTTCAAGCCCGTCCCGTTCCCCGGGGTTAGTCACACTGGCCATATACACGCCGACATCTAGATATATTCACTTCAACTAATTCAGCTTAGTCAGTGATGGCCGTGATATCATCATAAAGGTACAAGCTACCGCTCTCTGTGGCTCGTGAGTTCGGCATCGCCTCACCCTACCCCAACGAGCGTGTACAATTTCCTCTATTAGCTAACGCGGGTTATAGTGAGCTCCATGTCTATCGCGGGCACCAAAAATCTGGCACTGGGTTCATCATGGGCCATGAATTCACTGGCGTAGTGGTGGAAGCCGGTGCAGACGTCAAGACACTCAAAGTCGGCGACAAGGTCGTGTCTCCGTTTACGTCTTGCTGGTACGCCGCAATGCCCATGTTCCCGTTCCCATTTCTTTCTGACTCTCGAAAGCGGCGAATGCTTTTATTGCCAAAATGAGGCAACTTCTCGCTGTGTTCATAGCAAGTTATTCGGCTCCGCCGTTCTCGATGGCGGACAGGCCGAGTATGCGCGCATCCCCATGGCGGATAGCACTGCGATCCAGGCACCCAAGTCCATTTCCGACAAGGCCCTCATCTTGATGGCCGATATTTTCCCCACCGGATATTATGGTGTAAAGAGTGCCGTGGAGCTGAGACCAAAGATCGACATTTCACAGTCAAGTTTTGTCGTCATTGGATGTGGCCCAGTCGGGATTTGCGCCATTATCAGCGCTCTTGACCTCAAACCCAAGCAGGTCTTTGCAGTCGACAATGTCGACCGTCGGCTGGAGATGGCCAAGAGCCTTGGCGCTGTGCCACTAAATTTCGATGTTGGAATTGACAAGATGCAAGAGCAAGTTCGGAATGGAACGGGCGGCCGCGGCGCAGACTTTGTCGTCGAGGTGGTGGGATTATCCCCTGCGCTGAAGACGGCGTTTGAGTTGGTGCGCCCATTTGGTGCCATGAGCAGTATAGGTGTTCACAACGCTGAGGTAAGATGCCGTGTATTCCCTTGCTTGATGTTTCTTTGCAGCTTGGAGTTAGTACTGATGCCATTCATAGATTCCTTGGACTGGTGCTGACGGCTACGCGTGAGTAGAACATGTTGCCCCATGAGGCATTGTTGTACTTACTGGAGTTTAGCAAAAATGTGCGGTTCCAGATGGGCCGATGTCCAGTCCGTTCCATCTTCCCTGAAGCGCTTGCTCTCCTTGAGAGGAAGCAAAAGGATGTCGAGTAAGCGCAAACCGCTCAGCCAACGACGATAACAGTGCTGACCACAGACGTGTCTCTAGATTCATGTTTGATAATATCATGCCGCTGTCTGAGGCAGTCAGTGGATATGAAATGTTTGACCGTATGAAGGTCCACAAGATTGTGTTCGTGCCATAGACGTACGTTGGTAATCATGAGGCCTAATTCTGGCGTGGCTTCACCATGCCCTCCTGCATGACGTAATATACGACTGTAGAGTCATCGTGTAGTGTTGCAAGTATAATCCTCTTCTCCCGTGTACCTGTGTTTGCCAACGAGTCGAAAACGGTCGCGTAGTCTGCGAGAGACCACTTTTCGGACAAATGAACTGGAAGTACACACTCTTGCACAGGCTTCTTTGTCACCCGTTCACCAGTGACTTGCTCTTGTGCGAGCGCCACAATCTGATCATCTGGATGCAGATATAATCGCTTTGTGGGCAGGCCTCTGATCAAAGCCCTAATTGAGCCCTTGGTGTAGATAAATTTTAGCTCTGTCCAGTCATGCTGGTCTTGCAAATTTTTCATAACAGCCAAAGCGACGTTGTCGGGTTGCTGATACTGTAATGAGGACATTTCCACCATACAGTCGGTATTCATAAGATCGCCGAGTCGCAGTAAGGCTGTCGAGAATGGGAGATTGTAAGTATAGAACAATGTTGAAAAAGTCGAGACAAATATGAGGTGGGAAACCCGGATAGGCTAAGAGGCGGTCACCCGAACGAGAGTGACGAAACGCCTGTTAAAGCATTCACCTACAGGTAGGTAGTTAGTGTCAAATGTGGGACGTCACGAGATACACTAATGGGAAAAGGTATCTATATATTAGTTATATACTAGCTAAGGTACCTACCCCCTATAAGGGTAACCTCTAAAGACCTTTAGGTATTTAATAACTTCTTTTACTTTTTAATTATTACTATTAACTAACCCTAATTAAACTAGCTTATTTATCTAATAAGTTCTGTATTCTAAACTAAATAAATAGTTAATAGAATTACCAGATTTATTTACTTTATTATTATATAAATTATAACTAAAATTTATAAATAAATTATTAATATTTATTAAGAATTAATAGTTTTTTATAAATTAAATATTAATTTATTATTAAAGATTATATTTTATATTATTTATTAGTTAATTATTTTATATAAATATATTTAAACTTATATTATTTATATATATCTTTAAATAAATCATAAAACTTTATTATTATTATTACTTATAATTATAATATTTAATATTTAAATAATTTTACCTCTATAATATAGTAAGTCTATATTAAGAAGTTTTATATAGGTTAGTCTATAGATTATAGGTTTAAATCTTACTAAAGATACCTTTTTTTAATTCTCTATTCTTCTTAAAAGCCTAATATATTAAAAGTAAATAACACTATAAAAGATTAAATAAAGTATAGATTAAAGTAACTATAGATCTAGTTTAATGAAAATTATTATTAAATATAATATAGTTAATAAGTAAGTAGTATAAATAAGTAAATAATATACCTTTATTAACCTATTACCCTTTAACTATTAATAATTTACTAATATTAAAAAAAATATTTATAACTAATTAAAATCCTTTTCTTATTAATTTTTATATCTATAAAATAAGTATATATATTATATTTAATTTAATTATATATATAATATTATTAACTATATATTTTAACCTTTATTTTAAATTATTATAAGCTTATAT